TGTTGTCAGCAAAGGAATGCCTGAGTTTATAAAGAGAATGGGATTTACTCTTAAAACTTATGGTATGTAGCCTTTTCCAATAAAATAATGAAGTACATGAAACATAAACTAAAATTTCAGTATTAAAATAAGATTAAAGATATTTAGCATATTAGGATCATGGAACTTTACGAATTATTAACAGAATTGATAGATTTCTTGGATAAGAGTATCGAAGATGATTTTGTCAAGTCAGAAAATACATTTCCTATACTGCTAATAATTTTTTGGGAATAATAATGCCAGCGATTTAACAGCCTAGTCTCATCTCCAGCCACCAAAAGTCCCCCTGCACGCATATGTCCATATTTACATACGATACGGTATGGCATCCACTCCATTCGGAAAAGATAATCCCGGCAAAAACATAAAATGCAGGCACAAATACTTGAGAGCAAAGTTATGAACTGAGACGATGAGGGGGCCCAGGAGGGTCCAAAAAAACAGCAAAAGGGCGTCGTTAATATTTCAAAAACAGAAACACAACCGAAACGAAACGACAAACAACAAAAGCAGGCAATAATGGAAATAGTCGTGATACTTGGACAATTGCACAACAGACCCACAACTTGACTTTAGCACGGGTCCATGTCCATTCGGAATATTAAGGCATATTTGCCGCTCGGTCAGCGAAACCGGACGGAAAGGTAAATGAGACAAAGCCAGCCAGACGAGACGGGGTGAAAAGTCACCTTCGTGTTGCACAAAATTTATGGCCAACGAGGATGCCCTTGGATAATCAAGCTGTGGATAGAGGATACCCTCTAAAAATCATTAGTCCCATGCCAGCTAGTTGTACGCTTAAAGTCATATATAAATTAAACCTTTGGCAAATAATGATATTTTATTTAAGTGCTCTACGAGTAAAGGTAATAAAGTTAAGCAAATATACGGTTTATTTTTTTAAAAAGTCATATAAAAAATAAAATTCTAAATTATTTTAATATTGTTAGAATTTCTGTAGAACAAATAATAATTAAATTGTTCATTGCACGCATAACAAAACTTAAGTTAGAGCATAGCGATTAAATTTAAGTAAGCTATTTCAAAATTAACACTGATAAGCTAGGTGATGCAAAAAATGTCTGCATTGAAACCGCACCATTTAGTTATAAAAACTGAATATTTTCTAAATCTTATTTGAATTGATTTTATTTTTCATTAGGCAGTCGGATATTTATTTTGGTTTTAATCTATTAGTTAAGTGCCAGCTTTTGGTCAAAGCAAATATACCCCTTTTTAGGAATATATATAGATAAAAGGTAAGTTGGAGAATGGGCTTGGATGCACATATTCCCCTTGCAAGTCCAAGAAAAGGGACTCCACAAAGTTCTCCATGTGCGTTGTGCGTGTGTGAGACAAATTAATTGTTGACAGCGCGACATCTTCGAACCCCCAACTAATCTGCCTGGCAACGGGAAGTTTTGGGTTAAGTGTTTCCTGACACCAAAACCATTTATCTCTGCCCGACCAACAAAGTTCAGAGGTCCCACATAGCAATGTTTAAAGGGTATGGTTACCGATTTCTGATCAATACTAGATTAAAATTAGCTCAGATGAACATCTCAACAACAAATTAAATTTAAAATCTCCTCTGAATATATATTTAAAAGTGTGCTCTATAGGGGATAGATTCCTCCCACTAGGATTAGAAAGTAGTTATAATAAGTATTTTATACCAAAATGTTTTATTTCTGCTAAGGAATTTTTTTTTATTTCCCCACCCCAACAAAATTCTGAAACCGCTACTGATTAAAACTATTAAAAAGATTATAAAGTTGTACATTATAAACACCATTGTTGACTACATTTGTATCAGTATAGCCGACGTAAATAATAAAAGAATTCATGTATATTCTTAGTATATACATTTACAGATAACAAGAGACAGAATACAATAACATATGATTATGAGACCAGAATCTCTCTGTAGTTTTCACGTATTAAAGCTTAAACTAACAGTTCAGTAAGCTCCTATCGTTGAAAATGATCGCGTCAAGATTTGTGGCTCTGGGGATCGCATTTCTGATGCTCCTGGCATATACTTCGGGACAACCCACCTCGATCCAGCCGGAAATCAGTAACACAACTGCGGTTCCATACGTCTTCAGGAGCGCCCTTTCACCTCGTTATCTAGTTAAATGGACAACTCCAACAGCAATAGCAACAAATAACAATGACAATGATATAGATTAATAATTATTAATGAATTAATAATTAATATTATTATTATGATTGTGATTCTAATCATTTGCCGAAGAACTAATGAATAAATGTGTGTGAAATGAAGACTACATTTTTCCTGACTCATGTTACTAAATTTTATATAAATACGAAATGGAACATCTTGCTCATTCAATGATAAAGCGCTGTCCCAAATCTCCAGCCTTGTTTACTTAAGTTAAAAATTGCAGTCTGCTTGCTAATAATAAAACTCAGTCAAAACAGACTTCTCTGGTTCTTCTTAATTGATAAGAGCAGTGTTTTCGTTTTCGTAGCTTTGATTCTTTAACGGCAGAACCATTTTGACAGTGACTGAAAATGAACGTTTCTTGTGTGATTTGGGGATCGTCTTCCTGCTGTTCCTGGGACAACTTTTGGCCCAAGCCACCATGAACTCAAATTTTTTTGACCCGGATAAGCTTAACATGGCTCGTGAGAATCCCACCGATATGACAGGATGGAGTAACCAAAAACCCAAATCGACTTCCACGACATGGAATAACAGAGCCGCAAAAAAAAGAAATATAAAAATTGATTACAAAAATGAATGAATAAATAAATATATAAAAAAAATTATAATCAACTCAAGCATTACACTTTATATATTTATAATGTGAATTTATAATATGAATTTTATTTTTGAAATAATGGTAAAGTAATAGTAAAGTTTTGTTTATTTTCTTCAATACTTGTAATTAATTTTCAAAATAAATGTTCTTAAAATTTTCGCATGGGTTGACAACATTTCTGAGTTCAAAAAAGTTCATTACCCAGCGAATGTTATTTTGTTTGTCTATATGTACACGGAAAAGTAAACAAATCAAGCTGATAGCGATTAATATTAAATAGCAAATCAAATTTAAAAAAAAAAACTTTTTTTTTCAAAAAAAAAAAGCATGGCGGCATGTGTCTTAAAAATAAACAAAATGATTCACCTAGAATTAAATAATAGAACAAGCCAATATAGATACAAGAAACCACACTGATTTTCAAAGACCATTATCTCGTGTTTATTGGACAACAAATTCCTCACATTCCATTAAAGAGACAGCGACCAGACAATAGGGAGCCCTCTTGAGCATTTATTTATATATTCAAATTCTCTAGCTATATAAGTATTCTGCTTTGACACCTACAAACATTTCTAAAATATTTTTATTGAATAAGCCATTCAGTTTGTTTCTTTCGCTCACAATGATCGCGTCGAAATTGTTGATCTGCGGAATCCTTTTTCTGTTTCTTCTGGGACGATCCTTCACCATCCCACAATATTTTAACATGTCGATACTTAACATTTCTTCTCCTGAGAATGGCACCTTCCATTCTGCTTGGGGTCGTGAATATAATCCATGGGCACCAAAAACACCCACAAGCCTTAGAGGTATTTCATACTGATCCGTCGTTGTCAAGGACTAGCTTTACTAAACGAACTAGCTTTACTCCTGTTTCAGAGGCAAAGACTTGAAATCTCCTATCTACACGCTGATTAAATGTTTTTTTAATGTATATGTGATTTTGTCAAAATAAACTAATAGATAAAATAATAAAACCGTTTAATATATAATAAAATCTGAAATATACCTTATTAGGTAAAAAAAATGTTCGCAAAAAAGTGGTTTTGATTTTGCAACATATACATGGGTTGAAAATTCAAAGTTCAAAAACAGTTTAAACAAAGTTAATCAGATAACTGAGCGGGTGTTATTTTGTTTGTCTATATGTACACCGGAAATAAAACAAATCAAGCTGATAACGATTAATATTCAATAGCAAATCAAATTTTTTTGAATAAATGAAATTTGTTTGTTTTTGCAAAAAAAAAGGGAGGCTTAGAAATAAACAAAATGATTCACATAGAATTAAATAATAGAACAAGCAATATAGATACAAGAAACAACACTGATTTTCAAAGACATTCCATTAAAGCATTTATTTATATATTCAAATTCTCTAGCTATATTAGTATTTTGCTTTGACACCTACAAACATTTTTAAAATATTTTTGTTGAATAAGCCATTCAGTTTGTTTCTTTCGCTCACAATGATCGCGTCGAAATTGTTGATCTGCGGAATCCTTTTTCTGTTTCTTCTGGGACGATCCTTCACCATCCCACAACATTTTAACATGTCGCAACTTAACAATTCTTCTCCTGAGAATGGCACCTTCCGTTCTGCTTGGGGTCGTGAATATAATCCATGGGAACCAAAAACCACCAAGAAGCCTTAGAGGTATTTCATACTGATCCGTCGTTGTCAAGGACTAGCTTTACTCCTGTTTCAGAGGCAAAGACTTGAAATCTCCTTATCTACACGCTGATTAAATGTTCTTTTAATGTATAAGTGTTTTGATCAAAATAAACTAATAGATAAAATAATAAAACCGTTTAATATATAATAAACTATGGAATATACCTTATTAAGCAATAGTTATAGTAAGTCAAGGGCCTGTCATATTTGTAATCCAACAATAATAGTCGGGAAAGAATACAAAAAAACGGAAACCTTCACGGAATCTATGAAATTTATTTCTTTTTTTGGCGGCTTAATTTAAACTCGAGTTAGTTGGGCAACACCATACATTTTCAAGAGTTGCCAGATCAAAGAACAGCTGATTTTTGGTCAACTAGATAGCTTACAACTTTCAAATTTCTTTTTAAGTACAATGATACTATTATAAAAGGTTGAAACCTCAATTCAAAACCCAAAAGATATTTTGTATCTCCCCAAAAGAATTGAAATTCATAAAAAGAGGAGTATATTTTATTAAATTCCTGTAACAAAGGCCACAAGCGACAGTCTCCAGCGTTACCGACACCTAAATTACTTAAACTAATATTTGATCATATAGGACATCTATTGTTTCAGGGGGAATGGAGGCACCCAGCCGCCAAAGGTCCGCTCCAGTTCCTCGGCAACCGCCAGACAAAGACGATCGTTATTCGGATTGGCCACCACCTGGATGCCCAGGGGCATGCCTTTCGAGTCGAGACCCATGGGCACCTGAGTGGCCGGCAGATGGAGCACATTGAACAGGCTGAAGTAGGCGAAATCATTGAACTTGATCAGCGGATAGAAGTGGAAGGGCGCTGTCCTGGAGAACTGTGGAAGAACAGAACCCCATCATCGCCGAGCAAATCCTGGACTGATTTCCTGCACTTTGCCGTGGCCTCCCGCATCAGCTTCTCCTTTTCCTTGGGCAGCACACTGTCGATCAGCCCATAGATGGCGGCCATACTATAGTCACTCTGTCCCAGGATCTTCTTGAAGAGCTCCACGAACGGATTGAGTTCGGCGCCGTTTCCCAGCAAGAGATTAAAGTTGGCCGGCTCCTGGGTCATCCAATAGCGCCACATCTTGCCGGTCAACTGGGTATTGGGTATGTTGGCATGTCGCACATCTTTGCCACACAGGCTCTCAAAATGTTTACGTATCTTGTACATACTCTTTCAGTTTCCCGGTTATAGGATTGCACTGAGCCATGCCATTGGAGGACACATAGAAGTACCGCAGACGCTTCAGATCCACCTGCTCATCCAGTTTCAGCTTGGGTTTAAGCGAGGGTTCCACAAGAACCTGCATCATGGGCAGTAATCCCGGGCGTAACGGCTCATGGGACCGGCGCAAACCATTGTGTCCTTTTCCTTGCCGGTTCTAAAGGTGCAACCAGCCATATTTACTGCTCCGGAAGTGGGTTTGTGCCCAAAGACACCGCAATTAAAGGCTGGTATACGTATGGAACCACCGATATCGGTTCCCAAGCCAAAGCCCGTACAGCAGGCGGCGATCAGAGCGGCTTCTCCACCCGAAGACCCACCCACAGACCGTCGGAGATCATAAGGATTGTTGGTTCCACCAATAAGCATATTCCTCGACTCAATCCACTTGTTGACCTCCGGAACATTGCTGGTGGCGATGATGATGGCACCGCTTTCCTTCATCAAGCGAACGCATTCGGCATCCTCCGTCGAACGTTCAGTTTTCCGGGATACCAAACCCAAGGTATGGAGCTTCCCGGCCACAGCGGTACTATCCTTGGTGGAGAATGGTACACCCAGGAAGGGCTTACGCCGGAAGTCCTCTCGGTGTACTCCTTTTTGGCCAACTTCCGGTCGATTTCGCGCGCCTGTTCCAAGGCTTCCGGAAATGGACCATCCACCACGGCATTCAGATCCCGGTTAACACTCTCGATCCGTTCACAATAGGCCTTTACGATGTCGTAACTCCGCAGCTTACGTTCCCGTATCTGTTGGGCCAACTCCACGGCGCTTTTGGTCAGCAGCGACTGCTGTTCCAAACTTGGCGGACCCGCAACCCGTTTGTGGTCACCCAGATACCATCCCAAAACGAACTCCAGCAGGCGATCGCTGAGGATGTGGGCCAGTGCCAACAGGGCATCCAGTACGTGGCTCCAAAACGACATGATGACACCTCTTTTTTCTGATGAGATTTTGCACTTTGCGCAATGCAAATGCAAACTAAACCCACAGACCCCCCTGAAACCTCTGAGGTTGCGATAAACCCAAGACGTTGCCACCCGATACCAGCGAAAGCTGGTGGGAAAAGCTTTCCCACAAACCTGTTTCAGTACCAACTACAGTGGGCATTAGTTTTATTTACCTGTTTATTTTTTTCACCTACTAAGATACAAAAATGTCTATAAACATTGGCAATAGATTAAAAAAAATATTTTTAAAATGTACATTGTAAATGCTTGTAAAATACTTTACGGATATTTTATACTAATTTAGTCATATGAGAATCTGCTTAAAGTTAACCTTTAAATGTTCTACAAACAAAAAAACATCTAAAATATTTTAGACGATACAGAATAGTGTTTTAAAATAAGTTGTGAAAAGTACCTTCTTAAATAACGTTTTTATTCGCGCATACGAAATTGAATTATTTGACTTCAACCAAATTAAAACATTTTTATTAAAATATTTAAAGTGTATAAGAAACTATTAAGACTAGCTTTCAATCTGAGAAAGTCAATAACTTAAGTCAATTAGTATCTAATTTCCAACCACTGCAACCTAACCTAAGTCAATAACTTGTTATAGATTTATTAAGATTATGATTTAAAAATATTTAAAAATAATAGAGCTAAGAAATAAATGATAACTTTTAAGTTATATTATCGACTAATAATTAACTTCCCCATAGAAAAAAAAAATACAATATTTTTAAAAACAATACAAAATCATTTAAATTTGTTGATGTGAGGAAACAAAAGGCAACCTATCGAGACCCTGTAAAATTACAGGAATACCTCTATGATTTTCCCATCAAACTACCACCGCGCATGAACAGCTGGGCGGGGAGTGCCCTTAATGCGTCAGTCGCACCGTGCGAAGGCCCCCTACACTCACCCAGCCGTCAAACCGTCAAATATCGATTCGCAGCTGCTGCAGATGTTTTTTCGTCAACAAAACAAAACAGCCGCCTCCGCTGCCGCTGCAGAAAATAAAACCATTAAAAGTCGGTCAGAGAGATCCGAAATAAGTTGCGAATTGTGAATTAAATGTATTAAAAGCGGAGGCCTTGTGCAGTGCGAAAAAAAAGGCCATCTAAATTCCTGCCTGGGCAGCTCGTATCGAATTTTTAACCCAGTACGTAGACCGGTAATACGACTGCAGATACCCTGCACTCCCAAGTTCGATCACCCCGATAAGAAGCACCCCAATACTAATCAAACTTATAGTGTTATCTACGCAATGAATCATTTTTTAATTGATTTTGCCAATAGAAAATACCCTTATCTTGGCCTAAAAATTGGATTATTCGATAGTGTGTGACATACGTAACTAATTAGTCAGCATGCTTTTATTGCCCAATGACTTATAAATAGAAAGTTTGCGAAAATAAGTGCATTTCAAAAGTAAATATTCGAGTTTCGTTGCACTTGCAGTCGTATTTATACGGAAAACCAAACAAAAACCCATTTACAACCCGTGTTAAATTGCAATTACCGGTTAAAACGCAAACGAAGTGTTAAATGCTACCTGTAAAAATGTGGAGTGTGTGCCTGTTTGCCTGGGAGCCAGCACATCTGTTAATTTCCAATCGAAAAGCGTTTCTCATTAATTTTTAACCCCAGTTGCCAGGCCATATACGTATATAGTTTTCAGTCGATTATTAATCTGTAACTTTCCTTGGCATTATCTTTTTCACTCGAATAGAGAGGGTGTATGGCTTAATGGCCCAGACAATTGTTTTTTTTATTCCCGCCCAAGGTAACTCACCTGATGAGTGACGTTATCACCAGAAATGCGAACGTGTCGTGACACGAATAAATTACATGCGTCACGGATCCGATTTCCGATTTGAGATAGGTCAGCAATCCTTATAACATGTTTTCGAGTCATATATGTATGTATGATGTCACCACAACTTTATTGATTGAAATGGGATTAAAAAAACAGTTTTTAAATTAAAATATATTGACATTTTGTTTTAAAATTGAATTTCTGCGTAAATTTACTGCTTTTTTATAATTACTTAAAAATAATATTTATTTTATACTTTAGACATAATTATTTTTTATATATAATAGCCACCACTGGCCTATTAAAGAAAGGGTCTTAGATCCTAACCCCATTAATATAAATTAACATCAGTCTGCTAGGTTAATATACTTTACAGTTCCCTAAAATTTCATTTAAGTCTCTTCTTTTTTTAGCTGAACCGCTTTAATAGCTCTTAATTTCATTTTTTTTAACCTCTTAAATTGGCTCAAAAATAGGTGAATTACAGCCATTTTCAAAGCTGTGTTGTTGGAGAAATTTTAAACTCAGCTTGAAGTTAAGCGAGGTTTTTGGGACTTAATGCTAAATTTAAGGGTAAGCACATGTTCACCTTTAACACGCAATCGTATCTCGCCGTTGATTACCTCAACCGTGAATCTGTCAGATAATAAACCTTTGGATAGCTGAGCACTCAGAAAAACATATAGTTACTAATACAAATAAAATAAAATTAACCATTTCTTAAATTTCTTTCTTAAAAAAGAACTTTAATTTAAAACCTTTTCAAAAAAAAATAAACAAGCAAAATTTTTTTATCAATAAATTTATTTGCAACCATATAATAAAACTGGATTTGTTTTTCGGACTCCAAACCAAAAGGTCCCTTTTTTCCAGATTGGAATTTAAAAATTGTCATTAACTATATACAATTTTTTTAGGGAAAGTAAGCAAAAGCATCCATATTTATTACATAGATAATTTTTAAGTCGAAGAACCCTTAATCTTTGGTTGGACACATCTGGGTAAATATTTTCTCCAAGTGCCGACGATATCTCAGCAAACATAGACTTTATGGCAGTGTGTCGGTGTGTCAAGTCTGTAAAGTGGGGCCGACTGCTTGACAGTTGATTCGTCAAATAGCACCGCACTCGACGCTATTTTCCTTTTATTTTTAGTTACCCACATACCTCCAGAGATTCTCAACAGCGCGACGCACGTTGTTTTCCATTTTCACAGGTGAAACGCAGCGCGATGGAAGGAATCCAGTCACGGTGACCGCCGGTCGAGCTGGATCCACCGATTCCAGTGATCAGGAGGAGAAGAAGTCACTGGCCAGTGCCGCCGATTACATGAGGAACTTCAAGAACATAATAGCACCGGGAAATGAGGCCTCCATGACCAGGGAGTTCAATCCGCAGGTGGCCTACGAATTCGAAAAGTATCTCAATCCGCAGAAACTCAAGCAGCATGTCCTCAAGAGTGAGAAATTGCGATCCATTCTGGAGCACTATGCCAAGGAATTGGGTCAGCCGGTTAAGCAGCTGGAGCGGCAGGCCAAGGCCATCATAGATGAGATCGGTCTGGAGCGGAACATGGCCATTATCCGGTGGTGCGGCATAGCCATCACAGCATCGGCAAAGGATCTGCGATGGATTCTACGTCAATTCGGCCAGCATGGCCAATGTCCGCAAGGATATGGGCAAGTGCCCGGTGCTCTATCTCCCTAGTCATCGCAGCTACATGGACTTTATCCTGATGTCGTACATCTGCTACTACTACGACATTGAGATACCAGGAATAGCAGCCGGAATGGGTATGTTTTTTTAGAATTTCCAAAGCCATTTCTCACACGAAATCATCCGTTCAAACAATAGTAGTCTTATAGAGATCAAAGGCACATTCGGAAAGGTTCTTTAAGTTTTAATTGCTTTTAAAAAAAAAAATGTATACTTATTGAAACTTCAAAGATAACTTAAAAAAACAAGCTTACTATTTGTTTACCGATTTATTTTTATTTTCATTTTCCGAAAAACCATAAAATCTTTACTAGCGGAAAATGTGCTACAAATATTAAGAGCGTTTGCTTTTCATTTAACACATTGTCAATATCACATTATCGTTTTACAAAATGCAAATTTTTAACGCTAATGACATGCTACATTTTAAAAATGTTTGCATTTCAATTAGTAGGAATTAGCAAAATAAGATGTCAACTTATTATTCGATTTCTGTCGCGGTAATTAAAGGTGTGAAACATTTATATCTGATTAATATGGGTATAATTAGAGTAACAAAATACCCTTTTTTAGGACTTTTCATATTAATATATTTCTAATCCTTTGCAGATTTCCACTCAATGTTTGGAATGGGCACAATGCTGCGAAAAACTGGAGCATTCTTCATGCGCCGCAGCTTCTCCAACGACGAACTGTACTGGGATATTTTCCGGGAGTACATGTACGCCTGGTGGCCCATACCACATCGGAGTGGAGTTCTTCATCGAGGGCACGCGCTCCAGGAATTTCAAAGCCCTGGTGCCCAAAATTGGACTCCTTTCGATGGCTCTCCTACCATATTTCACTGGCGAGGTCCCAGATGTGATGATTGTGCCGGTTAGTGTGGCCTATGAGCGAGTCCTGGAGGAGCAACTGTTCGTCTATGAGCTGCTGGGAGTGCCCAAACCCAAGGAGTCCACGAAGGGTTTCTTCAAGGCCCTGAAAATCATCGACGAACGCTTCGGCAAGATGTTTTTGGACTTTGGTGAACCCATTTCGGTTAAGGAATTCTTCGGACACGACAGTGGACAGCGAATGCAGCGAGCAGGTGTTGGAGGTCACCTGCAGAAGCTGAACCGCCAGGAAGTGGAACTGGTCAAGCAGCTGGCCAACGAGATTATCTACCAACAGCAGCGACGCATTGTGATCACCACCTTCAATCTGCTGAGCTTATACTACGCCAGTCAATTGTATGCCCAAAAGAGTGTAAACATCGATGAGTTGTCCCGTGGGATACTGCATCTCAAGCGGATCTTCGAGCAATGGGAGCCCATGTCAGCACTACACCTGGTAGCATTAAGGCGACATCATTGATGCCGTCGAGATTCACTCAAACATTTTGCATTTCGCCAACGCCCGATTGCAATTTACCCCATGGCAGCCAAGCAATTGGCAGAACAAATAGATGTTAAACGGTTGAAAGCTCATGCCCTCTGTCCACAAACTATGGCGGTGCTGTTCCCATGTTGGCCCTGCAGCTCTACATTAATCCCTGCATGTTCTGGCTGGCCAGACCCGCCTATCTGCTGCTGGCAGCGCTCAAGGAGCAGAGGAATCAGGAGAAGCAATCGGCGACATCTCGTACGATGCCAGTCTAAGTGCTCTACATGCGCATGTGACCACCATGGATGCCCTGTTCCAGCACGAGTTCATCATCGATCAACCGCGAGGCAGCCGAGTTTGAGACCCATCTGCAGCTGCTCCTGGACGAACGGGTGGTGGAGGTGGAGCAAGCGGACGCATCAGGGTGCAGGATAATGAGTGTTCGCATGTCATACTGGCCGCCCTGGCGCCCTTCCTGTGCCTCTATACCAGCTGGTGGTCACCTTAAGAAAGGTGGATATGGTTAAAGGATATATAAACAATCTTCTAATTATATTATCTCCCTGCAGATCCCTCTGGAATTGAGTTCAGTAACAAGATCTTCTTGTGCGCGTCCAGCAGCATGTGGAGCAGCTTCTCCAGCAACCCGGTGGTTCCGCCTCCCATGTGCATCCATATTGTCTGGCCCTGGACAATCTCAACATAGCCATATATGCATTGATCCAAGGGGCTACATTTTGAAATGTAAGGACTCGGGACAGATGAAGATCGCCGGAACTCCAGGGAAGTGCCTGAGGGAACTGGAAATCCAGCTCCTCGAGTACTGCCAACTAATGCCATTCGCACAATACTCGACGGCGGCCAACCAGCAGGCCCAGTTCCACATAGCAAAGTTATAACTGGCAAATGGAAGAGGCCGGCGGGGGAGACGACGCCTAGGGATGTGGAAACCGATCCAAATCCCGATCCTGCGTCGATTCCCAAACAGTGTAGTACAATTAGAATTTCATTGTTCATGCAGTTCATCCAGTTTGTTGTCGGCCTGCTCAAGAATTGTCGCATCATCTGCATTCTGTTTTTTATTGTGGTGGTGGCGCCGCTTTGGCAGCTGATCCACTGGATCATCGTATCCTCCCACTCATTCACGTAGGTTTATGGGATGTCTGTTCAGGATGGGTCGATTTTAATAATTCTTAACATGCATTTTTGTCAAAGAATGATTTCATGAGGCTTAACAGCTTTAAAGTATTCCGCCTTATGATTACTTTCTAGAATATTAAATCTTCATTGGCATATTTATACATTCCCCATTTTTATTTAATAATTTGATAATGAATCAACCAATAAAAATAAAATTATAAACAGAGGAAAAATACTTGACAGGAGTAAACCACAAGCAAGGAAAAGTATATATCTATCTTATAAGATTGCCATACAATTCTTTGACAAAAAAACATCGATCCATCCTATAGTGTGCATGTAACTAAGTGCTTAGAATATCTTTAATCTTAGAAACTGAAATTTTATGTCTAGTTTGCCATAAAAACAAATGAAATTTACAAAATCGCCAAAACATACACTTGCAAGAAATCGAATTTTGATCAAACATTTTGTATATATAAACCGGTAATGGTAGGTCCCATCGAAATATATATTCCTTATATTTTTAGCAGAGGAAACCATAGAAATGTTGCCCAACAAAATGCACACTTTCATATTACTTAAAAGCTCAACTAGATTATCACATTTTTGTAATATTTAATTGTGCAGCTTATTTTATTGCAAACGACTTTTTAGCTTGCTCGATCGAAAAATCATTTAAACTTTTTTAATGTTTCAAGAGTTATGGACGCATTTTCTATTTTTAAGGTGTTTTTTCGCATAAGTTTTTGTTAGCTTAAGCTGGTGTTATGTTTGTTTCATTATTTAATCTTAAGTTGCTTATGCTCATCAGCCATGGATTATTTTTAAATATTCTATTGTGCCAATAAAAAGTAAGCACCGCACAATAAAATGAAAAAAGGTAAGCCACAAAGCTTGCCGCTAGATATAAATTAAAACGGTCGTTTCGAAATCTGATTCCACGTGGATTCAGGTCCGATTATTCCTAGAGGAAACCACAGCACAAAAATGTCAGCGAAGTGCAATACACATTCTGTTTAATGATATTTTTAGAGATTGTTTCGTTTTATTTTTATGGTAGATACTTTTATATTTATATAGAATTTAAAACGAGAAAACAACACCAATCCTAACTACACCCGCTAATTACTAAACCAACAAAAAAACAGAGCAATAATAAAAAATTAGTCGGTGCCACTTGCGCCTCAGAAACTTGATTCATGAGACTTTACATTTCAGATTCCAGGGTCACCGACAAAACTGTCGTTTAAATTGGTCCAGGGTGCGTTGGCTAATAACCACGTGCATCATCAACCGCTCTGGATTTTCCTCATCCGCTGTCGTTTCCACCACGGCTGCGTTTTTATACAGCCAGGCCATTTCGGGTCCACCGCTGGGCACCCTCATTTTAAGCTTTCTTCGCCCTGTGGCGGTCAGTATCTGTTGTTCGATATCATCTAGCAGGGGTTCCAATCCAGTTTGTGCTCTCGCTGATATATGGTGCACGGGATCTGAAGATGACTGCGTTTTAGAGGTAACCAAATCACATTTGTTGTACACATTAATATTGGCGGCAATTGACTGGCCGTGGAATCTCCACCAGCCACATTGAAAGCCAGGGAACGCAGGGTGGCCTCCACATGACTGCGTTGGCGGCATGGCATGGATGAGAGAGGTCCTGAACGTGCACAATTACATCCGCCAGCATGGCATCCTCCAAAGTGGCACAAAGCACTCAAAAAGTCCTGTGGGCAAATCAGACATGAAACCCACGGTGTCCATGTAGATTATCTCTAGATTGCAAGGCAAGCAACCCGCATGAGCCGTCACATCAAGAGTGGCAAACAATTGGTTCCTGGCTGCAGGGCATCCTCCACCGTTAGAGCCTTGATCAGGGAGGTCTTGCCTGCATTTGTGTAACCCACCACGGCCACAATGGGATAATTTTGCTGTTTTCGCTTCTGACGGAGCAACTGCCTCTGCCGACGGACCCGCTCCAATTCCGCTCGCAATTTGCGCTCCCTGGTGCGCAGAATCTCCTTCTGCAGATCTGTCAAGGCGTAGCCCTGCCGACGCGTCTGGGTGACACTGGCATCCTTGGCCTGGGCCCAGATGTAGGGGAGCTCAGCCATAGCTACCTACAAAATAAAACCAGTAATTAATCTTAATTTATGGCTCTTTGGAAAGTAAAACCTACCTGTAGCTTTGCCTCAGCACTGGTGGCATGCAACCTTAAGATCTGTATCACCACGGAGTAGCGATCCATCACCGGCAGCCGGAATTCCGCCTCCAGGAAGCGTTTCTGGGCAAAGGATAGCGTGCCCTTGCTGACGAACAGGCAGGTTAGTTGCCTTTCCTGCCTCAATTCGGTGACCAGCTCCTTAAGTTCCACCAGCTTGCCGCTGCCAAAGAGGGTCTTCTTCTCGAGGCTTTCCAGTGGTACTTTGAGGGCCCTAGCCACCTGCCAGTTGGGCAGGGAGTGGATTAGGGCAGAGGCTTCCGCCAGCTGATCTTCTGGCCGGACATCGAAGGGTGTGCTCTGGCGTTTGGCGCCCCACTTAACGTACGGCTGAAGGATCAGCACTTGCTGGGAGCTGGCTATGTCGCGGGTGATTCGCATTGCTCCTCCTGCCACCTCGTCGTAGGCTCTGAAATAGAGTGTAAGTCACTAATCAATTAAATCTTCATATTCGATGGTTTTCTTTAATACCCACCGATCATCTAAGAACCGCATGTCGGCCAGATCGCTACTAGGGGTCTGCTCCTCCTTCTCCAAATCCTCATTATCCTGACCAGAAGCCTGCATCTGAGCCTCGAAGAAGCTCTTTCTGTTGCGAATGCCCTTGACTCCTTGATGTTGGGTGTATTTTGGCGTATGGGAATCCCTACAATCGGACGGAGTGGAAGACTCCTGGCCAAACGGCCGAATATCCGTAGAGCAGACATGACTAAGACTAATTAGGGATTTACAGATGAACTGCTATAACTAAAAGGTTTTCTCCTTAAGCACGGAATGCTTTTCCTCAAAGGCCATCCACGCCGCTTGACAGGATTTCGTGCGAGACGAAGTCGTTTGGTAGGACACTCCTGTGGCCACCAGCGAGGAAACCAGTATGTTGTACTTAATCGGATAGCGAATGCGGGATTGTATGATCTTCTGGGCGAAATAGTACCGGAAAAACCTGTAATTTGTGTAATTATTATGCAATTATCAAAAATCAAGAGATGAGAACGCACTTAAACAAAACGTGGCGAGTCCTGTGAAAAGGGAGCGGGTCATGCAGTCCATGTAACCATCGAATCCTGGATGCTTCTCGCGCTGCTGATCCTTCAATCGCTTGATATCGTTCATAATAAACGCTTAATTAATGATTAAATTGTATTTTCATTCGCTTTTGCCGGCGCGCAATTAAAACAGCTGTGAAACTAGGGATGGGAGAACTTATACCGATTGTTTCGGAATATAAACGATATTTAAATTTATTTTTTATTCTCAGATTCCATACTTTCTGTACTTGTCATGATGGTGCATTATAATTTGAAAAACATGTAATTATACGTCCTTTTTATTTAGTTTAATTTTAGTACTATCACAACGCCACAAAGAGTGCCGAAAATTCAGTCAAACTGTAAAACAAAATAACAAAAAAATCCCACAATAAAAGTCTCAAATAGCTCGTATTTTCTAGTTTATTTATTTTAACAGTGAATATTTAATAATTTGATTTCGACCACCGAGTCTCGATACTATCGCACGATAACTCCACTACCGATAGCAGTTCGGCGGTGTGGCAACCCTGGAAATAGGTTTAGTATACCCAAGTTGCAATTGCGGCGGCGGCTGAAAAATAACAATTAAAAGGTCGCGAAAAGGAGTTAAAATCGAGTGGCAGGATGCAATGAGGCGTCCCAGCATCCACTAGAAGGTGAAAAAAGCACAGCAAACCGATCCGGGCAACCATTTAAACCGAGAAAAGAGGGGTTTTCGGATAAATAATAGATGTACAAGTAGTGCCGACGCCAAAAAAAAAGAGAGACAGACGCAGATTGCAAAAAAAAGGCGAAGAGAGCGGAAAGAGGAAGAGCGATAGAGAGAAAGAAGAAGAAGCGAAGCGAAGAACGCGCGGCAAATGCTGACAATAAAAAAAAAACTGGGGAAAAAACATTTCTTTTTTTACCTGTGCTTAGACAAAAAAGACAATAAAACCTGTAACGCAACCAAATCGCATTTCTTGCAGATCTTTAACGTGCTGGGCGGACAATCAGCCGGTTACCTATGGGAAAGAAAAACCCCAACGCCCGTCACACAGATGCCGCAACACCTTTGACCACAGACGACTCCAACTGCTCCCCCGTATCTGCATCTGCATCTGAATCGGAATCGACAACAAAATCGAAATCTAAATCAAAATCTTCGAGATCCAAGCAATCCAAATCCAGATCACAGAGAAATGTCAGGGCAGCCAAAAATGTCAGCATTAGCAGTCTGTCCAGTGATTCCGATTCCGATCAGGCAGTAGCAGCCAGTTCAGTCAACGAGGAGGAGGAGGAGCAGCCAGCCGTCTGCAAGATTCGCATTGTGCCGCTAGAGAAGCTGCTGGCTAGTCCTAAAATCAAGGAGAAGCCTTCCCGCAGGAGTAGTACGAAGAAGATTACTTTGATTGAGAGTTCCAGCGACAGCGAGGAGCTTCTGAAAAGGATCCCATCCCCCTTGCCAGCGCGTAAAAGAAGCGCTGCTATCATAGAACTGAGCGACAGCGAGGAGGAGGACGAAGCGGAACCTGTACTAGTGGCCAATCCCTTGCGCAAAAGCGGGACAAGGATAGCCAGCAAAGTAAACCCGAGGAAGTCACCAGTAAACAGCCGGAGCAGGCCAGCACATCCAGCGGGGCAGTTAAAGAAGCCACCAAGAACGGCAATCGCACACATCGGGGCTCTCTGACCAGCGAGAGATCTTCGAAAGCCAGCTCACCAAGAGCCGAATCACCTCCGAGGCCCAAACGCTGTGTGGTGCGCTTGAAGCGTGTCAGCCTGCCCAAGCCAAAGCCCGCCCAGAAGCCCAGGAAAATGAGCACCGACTCGGAAGAGGCGGCCACCACCTCCAAGAAAGCAGGCAGAGGCGCTCCAAAAGCGAAAGTGAGGCCGACTCGGACTACGAAGCTCGAGCAGCGGAGGAGGAGGAAGAGGAGGAGAGAAAGTCCTCCGAGGATGAGGAGGGAGGAGGAGGCGGCCAATAGCAGCGACAGCGAGGTGATACCGCAGCGCAAGCGGCGTCGGAAGAAGAGCGAATCCGAGAAGGGCTCCTCCGACTTTGAGCCGGATGAGAAGCAGAAGAAGAAGGGTCGCAAGCGCATCAAGAAGAACTCCAGCGGCGAGAGCGATGACGATGATGACAAGCAGAAGAATAAGCGCAAGCACATACGCAAGATCATCAAGACCAAGGACTTGGATCTGACAACCAAGGAGGCGGCCAAAGAGGAGGATGACCGAAGGAAGCGTATCGAGGACCGCCAGAAGCTGTACAACCGCATCTTTGTCAAGTCCGAGAGCGTAGAGATCAACGAGCTGGTTCTAGACTTCGACGCGGATTCCAAGAAGGCCCTGCTGCAGGTGGACAAGGGGCTGTTGAAGAAGCTGAAGCCGCATCAGGTGGCGGGCGTGAAGTTCATGTGGGATGCCTGCTTCGAGACACTCCAGGAGAGCCAGGAGAAGCCCGGCTCCGGCTGCATCCTGCCCACTGCATGGGTCTGGGCAAGACCCTGCAAGTGGTCACCCTGTCGCACACGCTGCTGGTGAACACACGACGCACCGGTGTGGATCGCGTCCTGGTCATTTCGCCTCTGAGCACGGTGAACAATTGGGCACGGGAATTCAACAGCTGGATGAAGTTCGCCACCCGCAACGACATCGAGGTGTACGACATCTCGCGCTACAAGGACAAGCCCACGCGCATCTTCAAGCTCAACGAATGGTTTAAGGAGGGCGGCGTCTGCATCCTCGGCTACGACATGTACCGCATTCTGGCCAACGAGAAGGCCAAGGGTCTGCGCAAAAAGCAGCGCGAGCAGCTAATGGAGGCCCTGGTCGATCCCGGTCCGGATCTGGTCGTCTGCGACGAGGGACATCTGCTCAAGAACGAGAAGACCTCCATCAGCAAAGCGGTCACCAGAATGCGCACCAAGCGTCGGATTGTCCTTACCGGCACCCCGCTACAAAATAATCTCAGAGAATGTAAGTAGATTGCTCGATTCCTAATAACAAGAAATGGAGTGTTGTTAGGGTCCCTTTGGTGCTTAAAATAAATTTTTATGGCTCCCCAAAGGCCTCGAGCTTCGAAAGAATTGGTCTCACAAATGCGAACACTTCCAGTGCGATAAAAAACATTATTTTCTCTTAAAAAGTGATTGGTGTTATTTTACCGGACATTATTGCATGCAGCCACTAAACAAGCATACCCAATTAATTTAATAATCCCTTCTATTCCTAGATTACTGCATGATTCAGTTTGTTAAGCCGAATCTGCTGGGCACATACAAGGAGTATATGAACCGCTTCGTCAACCCGATCACAAACGGCCAGTACACGGACTCCACGGACCGGGATCTTCGTCTTATGAAGCACCGCTCGCACATTCTGCACAAGCTGCTCGAGGGCTGCATCCAACGGCGGGATTACTCCGTCCTGGCGCCTTATTTGCCGCCGAAGCACGAGTACGTGGTCTACACAACGCTGTCGGAGTTGCAGCAGAAGCTCTATGGCTACTACATGACCACGCACCGGGAACAAAGCGGCTCTGATGTAGTCGGCAAGGGGGCGCGACTATTTCAGGACTTTCAGGATCTGCGGCGCATCTGGACGCATCCGATGAACCTGCGGGTGAATAGTGACAACGTGATTGCCAAACGGCTGCTCAGCAACGACGACTCGGATATCGATGGCTTCATTTGCGACGAGACCGACGAGGAGGACGCTGCTTCCAATTCCTCGGACAGCTGCGACTCCTTCAAGTCGGACGCCAGTATGTCGGGTGTGGCAGCCAGTTCGGGAAAGGTGAAAAAGCGCAAAACTCGTAATGGGAACGCCGGTGGTGCCGATAGCGATTCCGATCTGGAGCTGCTAAGCGGATTACCGGCAGGAGCCAGTGCCCAGAAGGACGACCCATCGGAGTGGTGGAAGCCTTTTGTCGAGGAGCGAGAGCTGAACAACGTACACCATTCCCCAAAATTGCTCATCCTCTTGCGGCTGCTGCAGGAGTGCGAGGCAATTGGTGACAAGCTGCTCGTCTTCTCACAGTCCTTGCAGTCCCTGGATGTCATCGAGCACTTTCTGTCGCTGGTGGACAGCAATACCAAGAACTACGAGTTCGAAGGTGGGTTCATTTACTACATTCCATGTATAATTGTATTTTATATGTAATATTCTACCCCCAGGTGATGTGGGCGACTTTAAGGGCTGCTGGACGAACGGAAAGGATTACTTCCGACTGGACGGCAGCTGCAGCGTGGAGCAGCGCGAGGCCATGTGCAAACAGTTCAACAACGTGACCAACTTGCGCGCCCGCCTGTTTCTCATCTCCACTCGGGCCGGTGGCCTGGGCATCAATCTGGTGGCCGCCAACCGTGTGGTCATTTTCGATGTCTCCTGGAATCCTTCGCACGACACGCAGAGCATCTTCCGTGTCTATCGCTTTGGGCAGATTAAGCCGTGCTACATCTACCGTCTGATTGCCATGGGCACCATGGAGCAAAAGGTCTATGAACGCCAAGTGGCCAAACAGGCTACGGCCAAGCGTGTAATCGATGAACAGCAGATTTCGCGGCACTACAACCAGACGGACCTTATGGAGCTGTACTCCTATGAGCTGCAGCCCACCACCGAACGCGAGATGCCCATCCTGCCCAAGGATCGGTTGTTTGCCGAGATACTCACCGAGCACGACAAACTGATCTTCAAGTATCACGAGCACGATTCGCTGCTGGAACAGGAGGAGCACGAGAATCTGTCGGAGGAGGAGCGCAAGTCGGCTTGGGCCGAGTATGAGGCGGAGAAGACTCGAACGGTTCAGGCGTCGCAGTACATGAGCTACGATAGGAATGCCTTTGGCAACCAGGTGATGGGACAGTTTGGCAATGCTTCCGGCAGCGTGACCTCCAACAAGATATTCGGCTTCCGGTCGGACATTCTGCTGCAGCTGCTGAACATGAAGATATCGAAGGACCATCCGGAGCTGAACCAGAACCAGGTCATTCAGCTGGTGCCCACCTATCTGCAGCAGCTCTACAATGAGATGAACAACGGCGATCCGACCATGTACAAGGATCTCCTCAGCCTGCACTCAAATATTGTTCATCCCAGCGGGATGTACATGAATCCCCTGCTCTACGCCAATCAGCATCCCAATGCGGCTGGCTACAATCAGGGCACTGGCGGTCCGCCGGGGCCGGCTGGATCGATGCCCCCCGGTCCACATGCCGCACCTGCTCCGGGCTTCGAGCCGGACAAGGTATACGAGATCGATTAAGATACACCCGATTCGCGGAACCAACGGAATGTGGTTGCACTCTTTAATTTAATCGTAGGTAATTCGTCGACCTTGTCGGCATTTCCTTTGGACTAAAGTTACAAATGTGGTTTATCCTATCTTATTACCATTACCGATTACCTATTACCCATAACCGAGCGCATAAGATTATACTTTTTATCAACTCATCTAAGTTCAAAACTGTCCTAATTCATGTGTAGACTTACATTAGATACAAGTAAAAAACAAAAATACAGCGTATGATTTAAACACATAACATACAGAATATAGACCATGGCTATATACATACATAAATACATAGTGCGGATCCGGCTAGGAGAAGCAGGAAATTATTTAACACGCGACAAGATAACAAAAATAAATGGCACAGATATTAAAATAAATGCGTAACAATTTCTCTCCTCAACTTGGATGTTTTAAGGATGTGGGCGGGGATATAAAGATTAAAGAAATATTTGGAATGACCCTGGTTAAAATAAATCCAGGATATATAATCAGTTTATTTAACTAGACGAGATACAAGTAGACTAAGCCGGGTCTATACAAAATTACAAGCTAAAACGAAGGGAGCGCCCTGCTTATTTCGGGGGCATTTGCCTGCCCATCATGCGGAGCTGCTGCATCTGCTGGGCCTGCAGCATGTGCTGTGGACTGGGCTGCATGGGTCCGCCAGGTTGCATCGCTCCCGGGGGCATTCCGGGCATCATTCCTGGTCTTGGTGGTGCTCCACCCATGGGTGGCATTCCGCCGCCGGGACCCTGCAGCATACCGGCTCCGATGGGCGGGGTGGGGCGACTGTGCACGCCCTGCTGGATGTCCGACAGACAGGCCTTCCACTCCTCGAGGCGATTGTAGTGCTTCTGGAGCAGGCCCTCCTTGCGCTGGATCTCGATGCTCAGGTCCTGGTTCTCGTCCTTGATCAGCATGTAGGGCTTCAGCGTGGAGACGAGGAAGCGCTTCTGCAGGAAGAAGGCCTCCATCTGACGGGCCACATCTATGAAGCGATTGGTGGTCTTCTGCACCTCCAGTTCGATCTCCTCCTTGTTGGTCCCGGAATTGGGCTCCTGCTTGGTCAGCGACAGCAGGCACGACTGGAAGGCCTCCTCGAACTCGTCCATCAGGTTCCCGCCACCGGGCTCGTTGCTGGCCATGCTTCGGTGCGATTGGCAGACGGTTAAACAATTAAGTATAAACAATTTAGCCGGTTCAGCGGAAAAGAACAACAAAAAGCAACAGAATCTCAGCAGGGTAGCCACTTCTTGCCAAGTGCGGTAGTGATGACAATTGCTCAGCGATAGTTAAAAAATCGATTTTTGGTATCGAATATACAAACTTAAGTATTCGATTTGTAACGATTTGGCGATATATCATTTTATACGAAATCTATATATACTATATTATCTACCAGGTTTTTTATAAGCTCTAAGTTTTGTAATTTAAAAGAAATTAATTCTTTTAAGTAAAAATTTTAAATTATAATCATTATCAAGATTTTTAGTTGTGTCAATAAATAGTTTTAAGAAGTTTTTGAGGGTCAGCATAAAGTCAATACTTAAAAATGTGCAGATAGAAATCAACAGTATAATTAATAATAATTGTAACAGTTGTAATAGAGTATTCTATAAGAGCTTATGTATTAAATACATTTTTAAATAAACAATATTGTGCATGTTTGTATAGGGTATTCCTGCTAGGAAGTATATCGATAATAGATAACAGATCAGCTGTTTCATTTACTTTTTGCATGTGCGCCTGTTTATGTAAACAAAAGCAGTTTCTCAATCAAATGACCAGAAACTATCCAAATCCAACGATATGACCGCCCGAATGATCCAACGCAGTCTGCACACGGCTGGCTCCTGTCTTCTGGCCAGAGTTCCCCGCCGCGCCAATCCTGGACTGGGCTACCAACTGCAGCAGCTGCAGGAGCACCCGGCGAGACCCAGCGAAGCTAGCGAGGATTACGCCGATCTGGAGTCGGATTTCATGGGCGTGCAGAAGACCCATCGGCAGTACGAGAAGGAGCAACAGCAGCAGCGCGATCGTATTCGTCAGTTTATGATTAAGCACAAGTATTTCCGGGATGCCAAGTTGCCCAACCTTTTGCTCCATGCGGAAAAGGAGCAGATTCGACTGCTCCACGAGCGGGATCCCGAGGAGTGGAGTGTGGAACGGCTGGCGGAGAGTTTTCCCGCCACTCCGGAGATAGTCCAAAAAGTTCTGAGGGCCAAGTGGCGACCGAGGAGTGTGCAAAGGATCCGTTCCCATGATGAGACCGTCATCCAGAATTGGCAGCTATTGAGGTCGGGAAAAGGTGACTTCAATCTACCACCTGCTCTGCTGCAGCATCTCCAGAAATTCGCTGAGCGAAGGCGGCAGGATCTGCGTGAACTGAAGACCCAGGATTGGCCCACAAAATCACAACTGCCCACTCCCCAGGGAAACGAGTTCCGGAAGCTACTGGGCAGCGGCAATCCAACCCCAGAGGAGCTGCCTCCACCACAAATCTCATCCGGCTATGAAGCCCCACCCTCATCGGCGGAAGATGAAACCTATTTGCTGGATAAAATCCGCAATAAAAAGAAGATGCGCCTGCAGGACCTTAAAGACATGAAGCTAGTGGAGTCGGTTCCTAAAGTTCCAGAGGAACTAAAGCGCCCCATCGAGAATCCCAGTGGCACAGGCTTCCTGCCCAGCTTCGTACCCAAGTTCGCGAGCAGCGAGATTGTGATCAGTGCAGCGGATCAGCGAAAGTATGAGATAACCCAGGTGAAAACCAGGATTGTAATCCCTCGGAAACTGCATCGCCAGGGAGCCACTTACCGCGTGGAGGATGCCTACTACGATGATGATGGGGAGCTGCTCTACCGAGTGCCTGGAATGACCGGAAGCGGGAAGGGTCAATAACCGCCATAATGCTTTAGTTTAAAAATATTTATTCGGAAAAGAGCATTATTAAGTAATAGAATTCGAAAATTGTTCAATCACAAGCGTTCTTCAGCACTATATAAAAATATATAAATCACTTGATACACAGATTCTTGGTTAGTTCATGGTCAGTGGTTAAAGGCGGTGGCGATCAAATCGCTGCCCGCCATTAGAGAGTCAGATGCCACGGTTATTTGGGCGCCCGTCAGCTTGGCCACGAAATCGCAGGCGGCCACTTCTGCATAGCTAGCTCCTCCCACGACGAAAACAAAGAGATTCCTCAGTCGCAAGGGGAACACATCCTGTTCTGCACCTCCGTTCACCTTCAGTTGGTTGGCATACATCTTGGGCGTGGTTTTCCCCGTATTCAGATGCAATTGCAAACCTTCAATCATGCCCAGCTTTAAAGATAACTCCTCGGCACTATTGGTTTTTAACAAAATCGAGCAGAGCTGCGCCACCAAAGGGATGTAGGTGCCATTAAACACAAAACTGGGGCAGGATTGCAGGCCAGCAGCTTGCGTTTTGGAGGCGGAGCCACCATCCGGTCCATCTCCACTGGAGGTTAGGAGCTTCAGTCGATTGGCATTGGCCTGGAACTCTGTTTGTTGGAACTTGGGCAGCGGAAGATTGGAAAGCAGCTTGGTCGGAGCCTTCTTTTCCACCACAAGTGGTGGCAGCAGTCCCGCCTGCGACAACTGCTGAAATACACCCAACTCCTGATGGCCAAACAGATTGCAGTAGTTCCTCGCAAAGATCTGCAGCTCCTCGGGCGCCACGCCAACACAATGATGCAAAAGGCACAGCAATCGTAGGGTATTAAATCTCTGACCATCGGTGGTCATCAGCTCATCGATCTCGCTTAGCAATCGTTTCCTCGACACATTGTTCAAGATGTCCTCCTCCAGAGTTTGCAGCCTCCTAAAGTTACCCATCATTTGAATCACAATCTCGCTGGCATTCAGATGTCTAAGGACTTTGCTTTTCAGCTCGGTGAGTTTGGGCAGCTTTCTGGCCACATAGTCGTGCATCTCCTCCAGCTGCATGTCATTGAGCTTCTGGAGTTCCAAGCCCAAAGCTTTTACTTGTGCGTGAATTAAGCTGCTGACCTGGGCAAACCGCTTGTAGCGATTGTCGGCGTAAATTTCATCTGAGGGGGAGTTTAGGCGAATGGAGCAGGGTTTGCTGGCTGGGTTTGGTCCTCCCTTGGCTTTTTTTCCCTGCAGCAGCTCCACACGCTGGCTGCTAATCTTGTTCTTTGAGTTATCCACCAGAATCTCACCAGAACGCTGCTCGAAAACTTCTAGGAGTAAGCCCGCATAAATGGCCGGCGTGAGCAGGCTGGCGGGGTAATCCTTATCCCGGTCAATGATAAGCCAACCGCCGTAGTCCGGGGGAGTCGTGGATTCCGGGAGCTTCCCCAGAGCCTTCAACATCTGCAGCAATTGAGATGAATGGCTACCAAAGCTGAGGATCACAGCGGGTTGACCGCAGATCATCTGAAGCAAGCGCAGACTTTGGGCCACAGGAGGCAAAGGAGATGTGTTTCCCTGGAGGTAGAGGCATTTGTAGAGCTGTGAATCGAGATAATATAATATGAAACCATTTTTTTAAATACCATTTGGAAACCCACTCACATTGGGCAGCTCCAAACTAAGAACTCCCTGATCAAAGTATATGAAATCCCAGTTAAAGTGATGAAGTTCCACCAAACCATAGAGGCCTGCTTGCTCCAGGAGAGTTTGGAAATAGGAATAGCAACTGGGCACACAGACTATGTGGTACATCTTCAAGGATATGTCCGGCATCAGCTCCATGGCCACGGGTTGCAGTTGTTTAAGTAATGTCTGAAAGGTTCCCAAAACACTGCGGATCATATAGATGTGCACCTCATCAGCGGATCTGGGTAAAGACTGCTCCGCATCATGTTTGTAGATCCTCTGAATGCCCTTCAGCCTAAGAGGAATAATATATAAGTCGTTTGTTTCGGTAAAACATTGTTATATTCCTCACTTTAACCAGGAGGCAGTGACAACATGTTCCAGTGGCTTTATCAACTCTGGCTCCAAAATTAACTCCTTTTTTCCAGGTATGGAACATAGTATTGAGCAAAGCTGCAGGGGATTTATTATTATAGTTATTATTTGTATAGTTCTCACTGGTTTTTACCTTTTCCTGCGCCACCAACTGAAATCCCTGAAGCTTTTTGTCCAGCGTCAAATCCATTCTTTGCCAAACAACAGAAACAGCTGATTTAGCAAGGTGCAAGAATATAAGGTGCCGCATAAGCACAATGGGCAATTTTTAACAGGGAGTTTCATAATTTCACTGTTTTCTAATATGTATAAAAAGGCTTTTCTAAATGAATTTACAATAATAGAACTTCAAATGAAAATAACAAATTACATTTTTTAATTTCACCATATGAAATCACTGACGTCACAATTCATAGGCTCGCTCTCTTTCGTCGCACAGTGGGATAACTTGATAAGTATTTATAAAAAGTAACTTTTTACCTACATTGATCTATATTTTATTCCTTGTACAATGAACAATAGTATCCAAAATTTGGATATTCATAGGAGATAAAACCATAAAAATATCTTTTTTGATTATGGTTGATTAGGTCCGTTTTCCCGTCCCCATGGTAAATTTAAAGTAGGATTTTAACACCAAATTTCCATACTTCTTTGGGTTAAGACACTTTTCTAGTTTTACAAGGCGACGATAACAACAGATTTTTCGCTTCTCGTGCCCACTGTGCGCGGGCTGGTCGCTCACGAACTATCGAATCGGTTCGCTACTCGCTCCCATCTCTAGTCGGGTATTTAAGCGCGTTTCGTCTGGTTATGGTCACAGTTTCGTTCCAAATTCCGAAGCGAGAGATTGTCGTGGGAGGTTGTTGCGCGCGCCCCGTTCGCATTTATGTGTTTTTATCGTGATTCTGTCAACCGAAATCATATGTTTTTAGCCAGGAGAGAGACGGCAGAAAAACGGGCGCAGTTCTGCGGTGGAAAATCGAAAATTAACCAGCGCACAGCACACACAGTGATTAAATATTGAAATTGATGCGAATTGAGTGTGAATCAAAATATGGTTAACCATTCGAAAACCGTGAAATAAAAACGTGAACAAAACCAGAAAATTGTTATCGCTCTCTGTCTCTTTCGCCCTATCGCATCTCTCTCTCTCTCTGCGATTTGCTCTCCGTGTGTTTATGTCTCAGCTGTCCGAGTGTGTGTGCGGCCAGTGTGTGTGTGTGTGAACGAACGTGCAAGTGTTTGTGATTTTATGTTGTTGTTTTGCTTGCTTTCGCGTGAATTCAACAAGAACAACAACAACAAAGGCAACGTCCAACAACAAATTTAAATTGAGATTCTCCATTAAATCTAAAGTTACAGGCGCCTAATTTCCATATACCAGGTGAGCTAGTGTTAACTTTGTTTATAAATAAAGTGAAATTCGCGAATGTGGGTGAAATTTGTGCGAAAATAGGTGGGAAATAACTCAAATAGTTGTTCAAATGACAAAAATAAACGAGCGGTCTTTTTTTTTTTGATATTGCAGCTTGTTGCATGTTCTCAACTTCCCTTTTGTGCCAGAGATTCGTCTCTCTTTCTCGCTCTCTCTCTCTGTTGCAGTTTTATATATTCGCCTTTGTCAATCATTTATCTGTTGTTTTAATGTTTTCTGTTTTTTTTTATGCCTAACATTATTTTCTTATAGTCTATCTATGTGTCGTCTTCTTCGCGTTTTCCTTGCATTCCGTTTGTTTGTGATACCGGTTTTAGCAGCTGTCTCGCTCTGGCGCGTTGCACAGGTTGCCGTTTAGTTTACTTTTAGATTTTCTATTCTTTGCGCTCCTGTGCGTTTTAATCGCATCTTCTTCTTCGCGCTCATCTTCCTAATGCCTGTTTGTTGTTTTTGCTGTTGTTGCCCCTCCCAATTATGCTTTATTTGTTTGTGTTTCCCTCTCCCCCATTAAAACTTAATTTTTGCCGTCTTTTTATAATTTATTGAGTATTTTGCGACCTATCCATTTGCTATATAATTTAAAAGTCTAATTTTTCGAAAGGCTGTTCAACTTTGGTTAATTACCTTCGTTGAGACTTAAAAAGATTTTTTAAAAGTAATTTTGCTATTCCTTAAACACGTTTTTAATCAAGATTACTTTTTACTAGATGAGTCATCATAGAATGTTCTATACGAATTGTAGTTTTATTGGAAAATGTTTTATAAACTTTTAGTCTAGGGAAGTATGAGTACTTTTCCTTTGATTTTATGAGTTCCCTAAAAATTATTCTGAATGTGCGAGAAAGTGTAAAAAATGAATCACAAAGTAGCAGTGGAAAATTTATGAGTATGAATGTAGCTTCCGTTTATACTTAACAGAACTAATAAAAATCAATGCGATTTGTTTATGATTTCCTGTATAGATTCTGAAAATCTTGAACAAATATTAACATCAATTATCAATGCTATATATGAATGTAGTGATCTGAAGTCTTTTTATTCTTTTTTTTTTTTAATCAAAAAAATTCTTATCGCTGAACATTTTTTAAAACCGACGTACAGCTAATTTTCTAGTTTATTACAAGTTTTATTTAACCCTGGAAAGTTATTATTTAGATTAGAGTGTCTAAATTGAACAATGAATCATATAATTAGTAAAAAACATTTTTTCCTATCAAACAATGAAAAATGCTGAAATTTGTTAAATGTATTACAAGTATTTAAGCTCCGAGTTGCAATATTTAATGGTTGTTTACGATTGCTTATCGCCCGTTCTGTACTAAAACTAAAAAATGCAAGGGGGAAATCTTGAGAAATGGGAAAAACCGCTGAGTTTATCGAGGCCGTCGGCGTTTCTCAACTCGATTTCTCATCCAAAATGCGCTTCGCCCGTCCAATAAAAACATTAATAACCAGCAAAGCAAATCGAAATAATTCATTTGCATTTAGGTAAATAAACAATACCACCGCCGCCCGAAGGTGATTCCAATCACACCTCCATAAATTCTCTTGCAAAAGTTTGCCACTAATTAAAACGAGAACGAATTACACATCAAGAGGGGGAAAAAAGGAGCTTCAGGAGAGACAGGAATTTCTGTAAACAGAAATGATTTTGGAAAAGAAAGCAAAAAGCATTTTTGCAACGTGCTCTTGCTTTTCTACCCAAAATTTTACCCCCGAAAACAATCTCGTTTTTGTTCACTGTGTGGAGGCGTGTGAATTTTCGTCGGTTTGATGTCTGTTTTTGCTCTGCTCATTTCTACGCACACACATCAAACCCAATTAGTATTGTTCTTCTGTTGGCATATGGCAAATATTTCCATTTGTCGGTTTGTATACATATAAATTGCTTTGTATTAGCTTCGGTTCTGACTTTTTTCCGATCTTATGTTTGGAGTAAGACTTTGGGTAATGTGTTTGGATATTTATACTTTCCCATACTTCGCGATTCTATTTTTGGACAGATTTTCAGTACATTTTCGTTTCCCATACGGGCACACGTGTTGAAGATTGCAATTTTGTATTTATTTTCATGTTTTCACTTTGTAGGGGGAATTACGTTTCCAAAAAACGTCAAAAATGCGACGTTGCAACGCGTTTCAAGATTTATTTTTGGGTCTTAATGATCTCAAAGTTTGAAACGAACTTTTTAAAATTCGTAATGGTTAAAATGCTTTAATATATTTTAATACGTATTATGATATTTTCTTTTAAGGTATTACATTTTTGAATTTTAAAATATTTCTGTTCACTCTTAAGATTTAGTAATTGCTAAGTAAGCACTAATAATCTAAAGCTTTTTCTTAAGGCAATAAGGAAGCATTAAACATATTTTTTATGCTACATTTTGATTACATTAATCTATTTTTATTTCAAAATAATGACAAATAAGAAAGCCAGGGTTTTATTTTTAGCAAACTCATCGCCGCAAACAATCGCGTCATGTCGCACTCATGCGTTTCTTCCCATTAGGGTGACTCACGCGAAGACAAGACAACTAACAAAGAATGGAAGAATTGCGCCGCTTGTTCATTCTTCAGCATTCTTCGCTCTACAGTTTTCATCATTTTTTTCAGGGCGGGAGCACTGAGCCATGTTTGTTATTCTTTCGCCGCAGAAGAATGGCGAAAGTGAACCCTCCTTGGGTTGGGATATGGGATATAGAATCTGGGATGGATGGATGGATGACTGGGGCTCACCGACTGACGTAGAAAAAGTGTGTTTGCGGGTGTGTTTGCCTGCCTTGAGCAAAGTATTTTGGCGCGTGTCCAAGTAGAAACAAAGAAAAGCAAAGAAAGGTGCGGCAAATATAGCGAATAAATCAGCAAATGGTTATTTGCCACTATGTCCGTGTATCCGAGCATGACCAGGCCTACAAAATTAACTAAGAAAAGAGAAGGGGGACTTAACGCTCCAGATAAAGTAATTTACAATTCATTCTCTTGCGAATTTGTATAGTTTCCGAATAGCATATCATTGACAAAATGGTTTAGAAATTTAAATAAAGTGATATTTATAGCATTACAAAATGATGGATTTATAAAGGCAAACATTTCTTAAAAATATAAAATCCTGAGTTCTGCTAGGCCTATAATAAACTTGTTTTTTTAATAAGAAATATTCAAATGAGTTTCCCACTTATTTATAGAATAATGTAAATACAAACCGTCGATAGATAAACAACTTTGATCTTTGGGCGTTTGCAAATTTTCGACTTTAGTCAATTGGTCCGTTAAGAAATTGCTAATTTAATCGGAAATTCTGGGAAAAATTTATGCAAAACAGCTACTCAGCCATTAGGTTAACTTGTTTCGACACGGCCAATTCATTTGGACGACCCACCAAACCCCACAGACCTTTTCACACCAGCGGCTTTTGCAGGTCCGGGGTTTTTCACATCTACGTATTAGACGCAGCCTAGCCGGAAAATGATGGAAAACGAAGAAAAATCGGATTTCTTTCTGGTCTAGCCGTGCCATCTCCAGTTTAGTTCCCTCGAATTTCTCACCTTTCTCAGCAATTTGAGCGCAAGGCAACGTGCCACGCATAGCTGAGAAGGCGGAAAAGCGTTTGACGCGACTTCGTCTCTGTATTTTCCCCCAATTTCCCTCACACCAACCTCCTCCCACAAACCGTCCTTTGTTTATCCGGTTCAGTTAAAAATTTCCCGCGATGTCGCCGGCCAAAAAAAGAAAATAAAGGAAAAACACAAAAACCAAACAGAAAACGGAACCAACTAGTTAGGTTAGCTCTCTTAGAAAGTGCCGACATAGAAGGCCAGTGCTGTCGAGACTCGAGGTGAAAAAACGCTTCGTTTGCAAATAAACAAATATTTTAGAGTAAATATTTAGACTAAGCAAACATTTATCACAAAATGTAAACTTATCTTGGATTTTTAAAGAATTTGTTACCCAATGTCCAGAAAAATCTATTCTTTATAAGTAATGAATTACTTTAAAAATCTATTTTTTATAAGTTATAAATTACAATAAATTACTTATAGATTAAACTAGAACAAAAAATAAAACATACTTAAAAAATGTACAGATCCCATAAAAATAAAGCCGAAATGACAACACTATTGAAGACATTTTTTTAGAGGAGCGAATGAAAGAAACCGAGGCTAGACTCAAGCAATTGAAACGAGCTGAACTCTTTATTTTGCACCTAGACTCAGCAGAAATTTCTTTTGTTTTTTGTTTAGCTAGTTCCTGGTGTAGATTCCCAACAAAAAAATAAAAAAAAGGTAATCCAAATTCACCGGATATTGCAGATTTGTTGTTTCTTTCGGTTCAATTAGGTTCATTGGGTTCATTTTCTTAAGACTGCATTTAAAGACTGCATTGTGGTCGATATCCTTAAAACAAGAGCTACAAATTTATCATAAGCTGTGTTTTTTTATAATCCAAAATGTTGTTCATGGATTACAAAGGATTTGTACCAAAATTCAAGTGCATTCTCTCGGGTTAAAAGAAATCCAAAAGCAAGGAAAACCATCGATGCATTCTGTTCAGTCAACCGAGTTGACATTTGCTAACAAAATACGCTGGAAAGTATGAACAAGGAAAACTGTTTATATGTTTGTTTACCAACAGAACCCGGTGGTATGGAGTGGAAGTACCCTCCATTCTCCATTTCTTCTGTGTCGAAGAAATGTTGCACACGAAAAATATATATTCAAAAAGCTTCTGCATTTTAACACATGATTTCATATGCAAATATGAACAATGCAAAGAATCGAGAGGAAAGACGGGATGTTGAGACGAAAATTTATGAGAAATCACAAAATTTATGGCATTCTTGGTGGAGAAGAACGGGGGAGGTGGATTTCCCAGATATCTGGGAAAACTCCGGGCAGAGTTGGCAAGAAGTTGATGTTGTCTAAGCTGTTTTCCCCGTTCATTTTCCGC